TCAACGGCGTTACCCGTGATCCGTTACTTTTTCTGGTGACGTTTTAACGTACGGGATGTGACATTTGGTATCGTAGCGTATGAAAGGCTGAGCTGGTTCACAAAAGAAGTGTATAATTATAGAGCTGTGAAGCGAAACGCAATTAATAAGGCGAACACTAACATTGATACTAAGAAGTGTGTAAAAATGGGTCTCCGAAGCTCAAGTTTGCAGAGCCCTGTACTGCCGCGGTGCGGCGACTTTCGTAACCTTTGTGGCGGTATATATTCGCTCCGATTACCCAATCGCGCGAAATCTCTAGTAGTGAAGGATTCAAGAGGCTTGGATTATGAGCGAAATAAACCAGGTTCGTGTGCTGTAGGAGAGTGACGTAAATTCAAAGTTTGGGAAGGTCGTGCTAAAAGCAAATAATGAAAAAGCGTCGGTAGCCTGGCGTCACTTAGCGGATCGGTTGCATGTTAGAGTACATTTTTCTTTACTGAATCACGCTCGTGGAGAGTAGGTGAAAGGGTTGTCTTTAGTTTTGCTCCTGCCTAGAAAGTTCCTTCATCTCGATCATCTTATTTTATTTTTCATCCTGCTATCTTGGAAATTTGGTCGTACGATCGCGTAACTTAAGCACTACTTTATATTCCACATTTTTGTATAAAATAAAGTAAGACTGGAACGTAAAAAGATGCCAAAGTTGATTGAGCTGCCGCTACGCATTTATGCATAGCCCCGAAGGCGGACGCCATTGAGCCAAAATAGTGCGCTGAAAAATTGTTTCAGGACGCAGTGGTGTTTATTATGGTAATGTAAGATATAATCCTAAGAAGGATTTATACTTAAAACTTTCTAGGTGAAATCAAACGTTAAGTTGCGTTACTCACTCACCAAAAGCGCAATTTGGTTTGCTTGCAAGACTCTCTTACATGTTAATAAGCAGCATGACAATACCGCGCAGAGCTCGCACAAGCTTCAAATAAAAAAATCAAGGCTTTTCAGGGATTTTTAAGCGCCTGTAATAATATTTTCATGGACCCCTTTAAATTCTCTATCTAGTAAACTTGTAATATAACATTTCTAAATGCACTGCGAAAATTCTTTATTGCATGATACCAAGAAAACGGCACATTTGCCAAAAGAGGTGCTAGTAAAAGGTTCAGTAGGGCTAATGCACCTATTCCTTAATTTCCTAGATGATCTTTAGAAGTTCTGGCATCTTTGTTTTCGCCGTTTTGCTTAGGCTGTTCGACTTGACAATGTCAAGTCGAACAGCCTAGGGAAAATCGCGAAAATGTAGGTTATGTTATTGGTTGCCTTAGCTTGTTTTGTGTCTGTAGTCGCCGTGACCCAGCCACGACCGCTAAAAGTCGTACTTCTGAAGGTTTACAGTATGTTGCAATCCTGCAACCTAATGTAAACCACACCCTTTTTTATGCTGCTAACTGAAATGGATCATGTTGCCAGGGTGGGTTCATATTATAAATTCCCAAGCAACATTGCACCAAACAGATGTTTTTTCCTTGAAATTTATCTTAAAAAGGGTCAACAAATGTAACGAGATACCCAAGTCTAGCAAAGTATCGCGATCATGAGCAATACATTTTAAATGTGTTTCACTCCTGAGATACAAATGCATTTTTCAAATGTATCTCGATACAAAGATATAGATACTCAAAAGCATCTCTATGATACTATCGCGATAGATTTGTATTGCGATACTGCCCAGCCCTGCGCGAAACCAACAAACCAGGAGTAGCTAGCAAGCTACGCGAGAGAACAAGGTGAACGAGAGGCAAGATCGCATGATGGCGACGGGTGAGACCAGACCTGGAACCACCGGGGCTGCTACCATTGTGGCCAGCCGCTTAACAGGCATAAGCTAATTGTGCCCAAATGTGCCATATAAAAACGTCCTCGTTGAAATTTTTAAATTTATGTAAAGGTACACGTAAAAATAATATATTTTAATCTTGTAAAGAAATTTCAATATTTAAGAAAAGAAAACGAAACTGGCTATTATTGGGAATTTTAAAGGTTTTAAGCACCGCTAGATATTCCAGGGCTTTCAAATTCTGGAAAAATTCCGTTTTCGAATTCATGCTTTTTCAAGATTTTCAAGGACCCGTGCGAACACTGCGTGGAATATATGTGTACGCACGAGAGAGTAAATTGATGGTCACAAGCATTAGGAGTTTGCACGATCTGGCGTGAAGACGTTGCGGCAAAAAAGTTCTCTAAGGAGACATATTAGAGGACTCAAATTGTATAAGAGCTTAAAAGCTTTGGATCTCCTTCACGAAGGACGGTGCAAAACAACCAAGCCATAATACAAGCGCGCAAACTGATCTAGAGTTTTAATAGTTCTACCAGAATTAAAAACGTAGCCTTCGGTTTAAAACAAACAAACAACATTATATTCGTTTTTTTTCGTGCGGCTTTTTTGAACAAAAGACATGACGTTTTGAGAGTACGAGGTCACCGTTTATATTACCTGTCTGTCAAGCCTCCTCAACCTCTCTCTTCTAGCATTCATTGTGCTAAAAGTGGAAACAAACAATTTTCTCAGATTGCAGTACTGTGATTTAATAAGTATAATAAAAGTAATGAGCGGGTTCCAGAGGATTCTTCCAATGGAGGAGTCGTTTGTATCATTCAACCGAAAGGGAAAGTCAAAGGACAGAGGTGAGACGTGTAATGCGGCTTACAGCTAGGGATGCCGCGAACTTTTTCGAACCAAAGCTCCGATGATCGAATCAATCAGTTCGGAAGGTTCGAAAGATTTCAAATTTCAAACTTCCTATATCATAAAATTCGACGGAAGTTGAATTTTCGAGCTTGTTAAGCAAAGAAGTTCGACGCTTTTCGAACTGTCGAACTTATTACGCTAAAAAATTCCATCCTTTTCGAGCTGTAAAAGTTATCAGGCTGCAAAATTCGATGCTTGTCAAACTTCCGAACTTGATTGACTAAAACGTTCGATGATTTTCGATCTTTCGAACTTCTTGCACTAAAAAGTTGAAAGCTTTTCGAACTTTCGACCTTCCTACGCTAAGCAATTCGATAGTTTTCGAACTTTCGAACTTCCTACGCTAAGCAATTTGATAGTTTTCGAACTTTCGAAGTTATTTATCAAGATAATTCGAAAAGTTTCGAACTTTGGATTCCTGCTAAGTCAAAAGTTCGACCAACTTCGAACTTTTAGGGTAAAAGTTCGACGTTCGTCGAACTTCTAAAAACCGGTGGACGGTTTCATTTAAATTCAAGTAGTGAGGTATGTTCACCGGACAAAAATAGGTAAATCTCACCTAGAACTTTTTTTTTTCTTGGGATTCTTTTCAGTTTTCTTTAAATTGTTTCAAACCAAATCCAGATGTCTACAAGTTTTATTTTATTTCACTGACCTCAACGGCATTCCAGAATTCGTTACATGTGGCGGCGTGAAGATTTGGGAAGGAGGGGAGGATGCAGTTAAATAAGAACACTTAATACACATGTCTTATTATTAACGGTAAAAAGGGGTAACAAAACAAAGACAAACAAGTTAAACATGACTATTGTTGATTAAAAGTTGGTCTGTCACGCTATAACAAACAAAAGTGAAAGACAAAACGATGGGCATGTCCATAAAAAAATAAGAGACGTCCATATTTTTCTTTACATGGCGGGCATCGCACAGTAGTTATGAAGAGTGCACACGGAGGAGGAGTCTTTTTTTTTCCTTGTTCACGTATCTGACTTGGTCAGTGAAAACTGTGCAAGGTAACGGTTATTGTATTACACTGTACGAATTCATTTTACCATTGTTGTAGTATATGCATACTTGTGCTATTTTTAAGTAAGCAAGGAGCTTAATTTCATCGAAGAATTTATTGTATCAATCCCAACCATTTTGTTTTGATAATATAAAGTTGTTTTTTTTTGTATATGAGCGCTGCCTGTGCAGGTTAACAATCTCATGTTTTCAAGTTCCAATTCAGGTAATTAGTCGCTCAAACTCCTCCGCTGTACTTCTTGACCCAAAGGAATATTGTTTATGTCAAATTCGAAGTATCCGGCTTTTGTTTCAGGATCCAGGCTTGGTTACAAACCATGCGCTGTTGCATGGCTTGGTCTCCGGTGCAATCAGTGCCTTAATAAAATTTAGGTCGAAGCTTACATTCAATTGATGTGGTGTTGAAGGCACATGACAGAAATAATTTTAGAGGCTTGGACATGTTATGTCCAGAAGTTTTATTTCCGAGAACGCTTTTTTTCTGATATCGGTGTATCCCCTTTGCCAACCATCCAGGCACATGCCGTCATTTCTACAGAAGATGGTAAACACTCCTTAAATTTGTTTTTTGTTTTTCCTTCGTATACACTAGCAGCCTATTTTCCTTGTCATAAACGGAACTTCTTCACAACTTTATGGATGTCGTTCCAAGCTCGGAGTTACTTGTAATTTTCCAAGACATTTTGTACAGTGATCCTTGTTTATGTGTACATCGAGACAAGAATTAAAGGCTCCTGCGAAATATTTTTTTTTTTGCTATTCTACTGAAATGGTTATTTGGGCCAGTTGGTTCATAGCTAAGAACAAAAGCGCGTTTGTCTTGCCCCTCTTGCCTTGCTCCTTGTGTTATTTTGGCGCTGTTTTCATTTGCTTCTGCATCTTTATGGTGTGCAAGCCAGGTGCTGCAAATATTTTATCCGGCCACTGAATTAATACATACAGTTTGTTCCAGCCGTTCGTATGCCAGAATGTATAATGTGCTCTCATTACCTCGAACGTGGAGACGCCAAACTATAAGTTGCGAGGAAAATCAGTGGCCGAAAGAATATTTGATAGCTTTTCGATACCGAAACATGCAGTTGTGGAAAAGATCGGTCAACGAATGTGGGTGTTTCTGAATGAAAGGCAATTTAGGAATCGTTTTATGTCACTAAAGATAATTTATTTACATAACTACAGAACCTGTACCGGTAAATTATTAACGCCACTAATACTTTTTGCGTCAGAAACAAATTTAATTTCAGTCACTCGATTGTGGCAACGCAGTTGCTGCTAGTTTTGGTTTCTGATGTGTTTTGCAATGTTCGTTATAAACTTTATAATCTTCGCCACCCTCTTTCACACATGCGTGCTTGTAGTATCTTATACATTCCTTAAGTTCAGCTTCATCCAGATATTTGCTGTGCACGTACAGCTCACAGGCTTGACCTAGAAAAAAAAATATAACATTATGTTGCAAAATATTTTATATTATGACTCTGTTACGAGCTGCTACAAGCTGGTAGCTGTTGATTTGGTGTAATTTATATGCTTCCTTATAAAGACTACATGCCTACTGCCAAACAATCTACTTGTAGCATCAGAAATGGACTAAACATATCCAGGGAAAATCGCGAGTGATATTAAATTTCAGCCGTAATGCATTTTATTATATTATTTCGGGAAACAGGAAATGAAAATGATGTTAATGCAATAAGTGCAAAGGTGAACAACAAGAATAACAAAATATTTCCCGGTGAAGGTGAACAAGGGGGACAAAGGACAAGCAGAAATCCCTAAACACAGCTAGACGACTGCTGCACTACTGAAAAAATCCGCCTGTTCCTGGCATCCAAGTAGGAACCTCTGCCTTTACAACGAAGGGCCCTATCAACTGAGCTAACCAGGAGTTGATGTCAGTAGAGCAAACCGGTTTTAACGGCCGCCACCCATCTAAAACCAACAAGGGTGAACGATCTGCATTCTAAGTTTATGGTATCAAGGCAATTAATGCAAAGATGCATCGAACCGGACAAGAACCAGGATAATAATTCCTGGAGAAAGCGAACAAGGGGCACAAAACCGTTCATTCACTTTGGTGTTAGACTTATCGCGGCTATTAAAACCCGTTTGCTCTACTGACGTCTAAATCTTGCTTAGCTCAATTGGTAGTGTGCTCTTCTGAAACTGGAGAGGCCCCGGGTTGATACTGAGACCAGGCCGATTTTTTTTTTAATCGCGCACGAGTCGCCTAAATATGTTCGCAGATTTCTGTTTGTCCTTCGCTCTCCTTCTCTAGTGATTATTATCGTTGAACTATACATCACGCAATACCGTTGCTAAAACTATTGAAGGATATTAAACATTGGTGCACCGTATGTATTACCACCCAGAGGCTGTTAGACGTTTATAAAGGACTATTGAGGAACGGGTGAGTAAGCACTTCTTTTTTAAATATGAGTATTAATGATTTATCTATGATGATTGATTGTGACTGTTGTTCCTTAAACAAACTGTATCTTTCGGTATTTTAGTAGCAATAATTGTCACTTTTCTACAATTGTTTGGTCATTATAAAATTCCACTCGTGCCTCGAGGTCTGTCGTATCTAACTATACTTATATATACCACAAAAAATAGAGAAATATGTATTTTTGTTATATACATATATACATACAAAAAATACAAAAAAAAATATATATTTCTGTATTTTTAGTGCTCGTTTAGTGATCGTGATATTTTTTTACAACGGAAGCTTTTACTTTCAGAAATATGCACGTCTGTACATCCGAGCCCCATTCCAAGGCAGTGCATTTTATCAGAAGAAGTCTAGTCAGCATGAAAACGTACGCAGTACAATGTACACAATCACTTAATTATAAGTAAAGCAACGTACACAATTTTTATTTTAACATGGCAAATATTTAAAGCAAGAAGAACATTGAAAATAAAGAAATTGTTCCCGAAGAGTAACACTCTCGTCCAAGGCGGTCCTCAGTACACGAGTATAAGAAACAAGTAGTGACTTTCAGTTAACTAAAACTCGATAACTATATTTTTCACTACTCATTTTAGATAAAATATTTTAATTTGAGCTCTCTAACCCGCTGTTAATATAAGCTAGGCGAGTTGTTAGATTTTAGATTTTAGAATTGTTCGCGTTACGTATCAGGTAGCAAATTACTGAAACTCGAAGAATATGTTTTTTTTCTAAAATTTAACAACTTATCTGGCCTATATCACCGACAAGCTGCACAAGTACGATTAAAATATGCCATGTAAAAATATAGGTAAAACGTGAATTATAATGTATGTTTTTAATTAATAGGTCACTAATTTGTTTATACTCTTGCGCTAACGACAGCATCCGCGTTTATGTTTATTTTTAAAGTTGAGGCATGTGGAACTTAATATGACATATATGAGAATTAAAACAGCGCAAGGGAACATGAACCAGATGAAAAAAGACGCCGACAAGTGCTGTGTTTGTCTTCTTTCACCTGGTCCGCCGTACTCTGCTCTGTTTTATTTTTCAACTATATTTAATGTGCATTGATTGCTTAATAATTTTTGTCTTAGAAGAAAAAACATATATATATTTATATGGAGCTTGCGACACGGAAGGTGGGTACGCCGATACATCGGCCGTGTTCCAAAATTTACTCGATCTTACTCCAGGGTAAGGGTTTTGTACCTTGGCGTTTCAGAACCTACCCACGTCCAGCGCTTTTCAACCTGTGATGTCACGTGACACGACCCGCCGGAGTAACTCGGATTCATTTGGGTAAGCTTTGGAACACAGTCATCCTGGCAGCTACACCACGGTGCCTAGAACGTGTTTCCGACGGCTGTGTTTAGCGTCCCATTCCTCCCATGCTTAGAAAGCGGTCCCGAAAAAGGCAAAAAATGACGTCACAAAAGCCGGAACGTTGTTCTGTCGTTTGTCGCGATCCTAATGTTTGGTCGTAGAAATTTCTGCAAAAACCACGGGCAAGCGTGAGTATCACTGTTGTGACGTAGTTCTAACTTCTAGCTTGTAAAGCTTTTGAGGATTGTCGAGCTGAGAGCGACCTGCAGCAGATACCGTGGTTCATATGGCGTGCGCCATACCAACCACCACAGCTGTGACACCGCCATGATTGCGACCAGCGATAGCCGGACAGTTATATGATATTATCAGGTGAAAGTCGAGGTTACACTTTTTGGGCCGCAGTAAACACAGCCGTCGGCGACGCGTTCCGAGCACCATAGCTAGACCAAGGGTAGAGTTTGCGTTACGTCGCGTAGAGAAGCGGTGCCCGTTCAGACCTCTTCTGATGTGTTCACGTTTTATCAGGACATCGGGGGTCCATCGATTTATCTAACCTAATCATTATCATAATCCCCTCTCCCTACAATCCTCACAACCCCCACCCTCCGGCCTCAGGTTCACCAGGCCATAGGCAGGCGAACCTTTCTCATCAATAAAGACACAATTTCAATTAATCAATCAATGTAGCGAAAACTTTCCCGCCAAATTTAGCGGGTCGATAGGGTCATGACGTCAAAACCGCGCGTGACATCAGGCGTTTGACGTCAGAGATGGCTGCGACGTTATTATCCTATCGACCAATCGCGATTTTCGGGTTCCAACGACGCCGACGCCGGAGTTTCTGTGACACAAGCTCCTTAACGGTATCGCGTTAAAAGAAAAGAATATTTTTAGTATACTTGTAGCATACGTACAGTATACTTTTTATAATAGCTCGCAATTAGCAGCTGGAAAAGTTCAAGCAAAATTGCTCCATGTGAGTCAGGCCGACATAAATCAGGAGAAAGAAAGCAGGCGAAATTTTAGGCATGTTAATTTTGGCGTGACGCTTTGAAATTGCTGAATTTCTCGAATCCCTAAGTTTTTATTTGCGCAATGCACGGCAACGGTTTGTTCTTGTAAAATAAAGCAAGGAAAAAGTAGATAACTATCTTCCATGTTTTATTTGGCCCGTTTTTTTTTTTTTTTTTTTTTTTTTTTGTACCTATTAAAGCATCGCCGGAAATCTGGGGTTAATATCGGTATTTGAGTTTCGTCACTTCGAGGCGGCCGAAATTCATGAGGAAAGAGGCGAGCTTTTTAACTAGATTTCTGATGAGTTCTACGGTTACTCGTTCGAAAACAACAATTTCTGTCACCCCGTACGTCTTTACTAGAACTCCGAGGAATGGTACAAAAGCGACATATTAGTTTTTAGAGTTGAAAATATGACATTATAAAGTTAATGCCGTAACTCACCCCTTGACGTCACCCTTAGTATATCGCACTTGGTGTAGTCTGAGTATATGAGCTTGTATAATGCGAAATCCTTTAAAACCGCTCCGGTCGCTGAAAATGTCAAGAGAGTTTTATGTTTCATTTCCTACGGCGAAGTTAAGAGCTTGTAGTTATATTGTCAACTACGAATACATGAAGAGTTAAAACATAAATGACGGGGACGGAAACCTAAGTTCTGTCATTTAGCAACAACATTCTCGTTGCTAAATGAAATAAGTTATGTTTAAGTTCCCGTCTACTATGTTTCATCCTTGCATGTATTTGTATCTATTCACTAACACGCTCGTTTTCAATTACTCTTGCCAACTACTGGTGCAGGTTATCCCCAACTTAGTATCCCCGGTGTGCAATATATCCGCAGCGAACAGGGTATTGGTCATGGTGACACCCTTCGAAACAAATTGTTTTAATTAAAAACAGACACTCTGTATAGTCTTGTTGTACAATTAGTTCTCACAGGAGGGAAGAGAGTATGTAGCTACGCTATTTTATTTAACCTGCAGCGCTCAGAGGGAATTTGTGCAAAAAACTGGTTAAGGTACAAATATAAAAATGGCCATAAATATGCACATCAATATCTTAATTTACAGCAATATAAAAAAAAACGAGGATTACATACACCAAATATGGGACGCGACCCATATCTTCCATGTTCAATGAAATATAATGCATGGAATGCAGTATTCAAAGTAGATAGTTTACATTTGTTTAGGAGATATTTATTTTTCTCTATGATTTTGTAGTTATTGTGTACAACAGGGGGTAGAGGCCTCAGTCAGGCGGAAATGCCTTTGTCTCTAGCTCTCCACCGGGCTTGACCCGTAAAAATTCAATTTTACAAAAATAATAATAATAATGATAATAATAATAATAATAATAATAATAATAAGTTATATTAAGCATTTATTTCGGGGAGTACTACAGAAACTGCAGTAATATGCCGAATATAGCCCACCTAAAATTAAAGGCAAATTGGGTGAAAATAAAGAGTGGGCTAACTGTAAGTGTGCGATAAAAAAAAAGAAGGTTGAAGAAGTGCTGTTTTCGGATCTTGTGTCCGGCAAAGGCTCGTGATCGCAGGGAGGGGCGATGAACCAAAGACTACTGTCCTCAGTAAGAAATGTTCGCTTATCGCCCGCCGCGGCTAGTAACACCATTTCTGCTGAGTAGACCATTGGTCAGAGACCCGCACTTACTAAAAGTAACCTATCGTTTGGTGTTTCTTCACATCAAATCATGCTAGAGATAAGGGGGTGCTATCCGTCACGGGTGCGGAATTCTCAGGATATTACGGTATGTTAGATCAATTTACTCGCCAAATTAATATAACTAGAAAGTTGTATTGCTTCCTAGGTTACGTTACTTCAAGCTCTCCAAATTTAGCTGAGAAAGGGACCTGGTGCATAGGTCTGGTGACGTCTATGTCACGAGCGGTCATTTTTGTCGCTCAATGTATTGGGAAAATTGAGTTGGTGTATAGCTCATTCACGAGACGTCAATTTCACCACTAAATTTAGCGGGAAAATCGAGTTGGTGTGTACCTCGCTCACGAGACGTCGATTTCACCACTAAATTTAGCGGGGAAATTGAGTTTGTGAGTAGGTTTCCCGACGTCACTTTACCCTGTAAATTCAGCGCATAATCAGTGAGTTTTAGAATTTTGTAGATGCGCTGCCCCGCAGACGTAATGCGTCCGCTGCAAGTGCCTCCGCTGCCGAAAAGTAGTGCGTCGTCTGCTCCACGACATGCAGACATCGGCAAGGTCGGCTTAAGTCCATATTTAAGAGAGCAAGGATCACTGCATTTCGGACGGGACGTCGTCGGGACGCGACAAAGGTGCCTGTGTTATTTCGTATAAGGCTAAGTGCTGTAAATTTTCCTACCCTGTGTTGTCGGAGGTGACGTCAAAACACCTTCATGTGTGACAATGGTAGGACAAGGCAATTGCTTCTTACCTGATTTAGCGGAGCGCGTCCGTAAAAGGCAACCATGTAATGCTTGCACTGCAGCATTCGATCATGCACGAGGCACGTTCATTTACACGCGCGTGTCTGCATCTCTCTATGCGAAATAACAGAATGCGTAAAAAAAAAAAAAAAAACGCAGAAGGCAGAACGCATTTTCCGTGCCCATCAGGACGATACAAAATGTTTTTCATATAGCATTTTTGTTGTTATTTTATTTCAAGAATTTATATCCACCATTAAATTATGCCAGCTTATAGATCTACACTTGCGAAAAAATTTCTGGAGCCGAAGGGGGTTCGGCCTCAGCGGTCACCTGAAGGTGTTTATTTCCATTTCTGCCACCTGCGCCGGTTTTCTCGTTTGATCTCCGAGCTTCGAGTCTGCGCCGAGAAGCCACAATCTTTCCTCTCTGCTGCTCTCGGCCGCACTCGGAAAGCACTCGGAGTAGCTCGGACTACGTCCGGTACGAGCAGGATTAACGTTGTTGACACTGGATCCTGCAACGCCCCGCTCGTTTCGCCACATGAGAAGAGCCGCGAGAAAAGTGTCAAGTTCTACAGCAAAGAAGACGATACTACTGCTATTCGTTGTTTCCTTCTTGGTGTGTAGCAGGACATAGAGCGCAAGCCACAGAAGCTGCGGTGCACCGTCGTCGGCGGCGCTTCGCCCCGCACCCAAAATGAACGTACGACCCTTTGTTCGAAGTGGATACTTCCTGCATAAAGAGACAACCTCATTTAGGGATCCGCTGGTGTCCCTTCGTTCCTTCGTCGTTCCAGTGTTATTTCTTGTGTAGTAGAGGGCTGTGGCGTTTGAAGAATGGATTTTATCCCAGTCGGTCGTGGTTTGGATGGCGTCGGACTACAGCTTCCTGGACGCAGTCGCTCGACACAAAGTGATGCTGTTCTATTGTATGTAAAACTCTAATAAACGTCGCACGGATTATCCTTTGTCGTAGGATACGTACGCTTTTTTTATTTCAGTAGACGTTTCTCGATGAAACGATACGGATCGAAACTTAAGCATGGTGTATCACGCTAAAAACTTCAAAGATAGCGACCATTCATTCAGTGCGCCCTACGTTCTGAGTGGAGATGCAGCGCACACCAAAGAAACAGCTGTGCCGTTGGTGGTGGTGATTCGTCCATACCACGAAAAGACTGAGCGTGCACGCCGTCCTCGTTCTGGCGGGTGAATGTTTATCTGTGAATGTTAATCCAGCCGGGAGCGACACCATACAAACAAACAGAAAGGACCGGAAGAACGTAGGTACCACGCGAGGCAACTTCCGGCAAACGCTGATTTGCTCGTTTCAGGCGAAACGCATCGCTTGACGGAAAAAATGGGTTCCGGACCGATTCAGATTATCTGCCGGCGAAGGGCGGATTTCGCTACTGGGCTTCAAAATCCGCACGACGCCGGCGCGGATCCGCCCGTGATTTCGCAAGTCTATACGCACCGTTTGCGTACGCGAGCAACGCGAAAAAGTGAAATGACGCTCAACCAGAACGAAACCAAGCATTAAATTTTGCTTTGAAGGTGTCATATCAGTAGGTATCATTCATTTATTAAAGTAAGCAGGGAGGCAGACGGAGTCTGGTGGGGCAGCGTGCTCAGCGGTCGCGTCTCACGAGTATTTCACTCCGCGTCTCGCATCGTAGTGGTGGCCACAGCAAAATCACGCCACCGCAAAATTAATGCATTAGAAACTTCTACACCACCACGATTTTTCGACAAAGCTTGTCCCAAGGGCAAAACGAACGTAGAGAAGCCGTCGGCCCAGATGAAGCGAGCGCCAGTCTCGATTAGCGAGGCATACGCGATTGTCCTTGCCATAAAGATAGGGCTTCGATGTCAGCTACACGACTGTTTATTCTTTGCACCGTAACACAAAAATTACCTCAAAGAGGAAGGCTGCTTGGGGGCCGGACGGAGCGAACGAGCATCATGTTGGCTCCTACATCGATACCTATTTTTTTGTAAAAAACCTCGACGAAGCCACAAACGGACCATACCAGCGATCTCCGCTTGTTAAGTGGACCCCGTGGACACCCACATTTTAACCGTAAGTCCAGAATTCACCATTTTTTTGGCGGTTTGAAATCCCGAAGTGGAGAACGCCCCGCTAGGCCTAACGCGCTAAACCAGGCGTGGTGGGGCCCCCGGCCTGGCGAGAACCGTCCCGGCGCAAGGCCAATGCGAAGCGTCTGAAATGGCAGCTGCAATAAAACTACAAGACGACGGAGGGAGCGCAGCCACGGCGTCCAGTCAAGAACACGGGAAAGGATGGCTAAAAGTGGTTCGAGACCGGGCCAAGCTTCGCTACCGCGAAAGGAAGTAGACGCAACGGCCATGCACGCACCGAGGAAACCCAAGACGACACCACGCTACCGCACTGCGAAACGTGCCGTAAGGCAAGAACCGCTACCAAAGAACGACTACAAGATCATCATGAAACCAAGAGAAGGCTTGTACTTCGTGAGATGAAGCAACATTGACATCACCCGCAGCCTGAGTGAAGCCAGTGGGCTCCCCATCGAGGCTATGCGCGGCTGAGTGATCTTCAGGGGGAAACATGATCAGAACACAATCATGAAAAGCATCACAGGCATCGAACTCGCCACGCCACGGTGTGACATCGACCAAATACGTCTGGGGAAATACGACTATGCAGTCCACGCGTATTCGGTGGCACCCCTGAACTCTCCCAAAACGGTAGTTCATGACCTGGAACCTGAAGTCACCCAGGAAATCCTCCTAACGGAACTCTGGAGCAGAACCCACGAAATCATATACGCCAAACCCATGAGAGAAGCCGACAAAGCTATGATCACCTTCAAGGAAACCACGATCAAACTTGCAGTGTACCTATACGAAGATGAATACTGCTGCAAACCCTACCGACCGGCCAAACGAGTGTGCCGCATCTGTCTCAAACAGGGACATCTAGCGGACGTGTGCCCGACGCCGGACATACATATCTGCGTCACCTGCGGACACCCAGAACTCACAGAGGCACATCAATGCACAGCCAAGTACGGTATCTACCAAGGTGAACATGTAACGGGCAGCACGGAGTGTACCGAGCGATGGCAACCGACCATCGATACCAATATACGGAGACCCACCGCGTCGAGGATCCAGCATCAACGAACCCAACGTCAACCAATCCCACAACACCAGCCCGGCAAGCAAAACGCAAAAACCAGCGCCAGCACTAACAGACAATGAGTCATCAAGGGCAGAAGAGTCAAGCACAAACTCCAACGGTACCATCCCCCAAAGCGGAACCTCCAACTAAGTCCTGGGCTGACGCTGTCATACCAGGACCTAAATCGGAGCACACCGCGTCTAACGCCACACCTAGCCGACCCACAACGGGATAGCATATCAGAGAGCCATCTACGGGGCGACACACCAGGGAGTCAACCACGAGGACCAGATGCCCTGAGAGCGACGACCCCTTTTCGTCAACGAGTAAACGACCGCGCATTGAAGCACGTGGGGACACGGAGCCAGAGCTGATGGAAAAATCGACTCTGGGGCCCGCAGAGAAAGCAGTCGCCCAGCAGACGGGGGACCAGTGCCGTCTGACCGAGCAGGTGTGCTGGGCAGCACGGTCTCTACCCCCCTCTACCACCCCCACCCCCCTCGACTGAATACACACACGAACCCACGACGCTCACAGGCAAAACAGAGAAAACTGCAACCCTTAGAATCGCGAAACTCCAAGCGGATTTTTCCGGACTAGAGCAAAGCTTCGAGGCTAGAGTAAGCGAATTCGAGGAAAGATTCAACAAAATCTTGGAGCAGAACAATATTTTCGCGGAGATTATCAATAGCCTGACAAGCTCGGCAATCGCCCCGCTACAGCAGCAGCAAAACCAACAGATGCAGCTACAGATGCAGCAGCAGAACCAACAGCAACAACTGCTTCACCTCAGAATAGAGGAAATCTAAGAGATCCTCCAGAAACACGTCGACCTTGAAACCGCCAGGCAACACCAGCAACAACAACATGGCGGGACCAGCCTAAACAATACAATTCAAGAAGGATAATCTGGCAATGTAACTGTAGATCATTAAAAAAGAAACAAGGGCTACTTAGACAATATATACAGCACTCCCAAAAACCACCGGACGTAATCGCGTTGCAAGAAACGAGAACCACTCCCGCTCTCAGAGGGTAGAACACTTACACAACCCCAGGAAGATCGCAGATATGCATCCTAGTAAGTAAATCTCTCACAGTTCTCCACCACGGCCCCATGGACACAGGAATTACCGTGATACTCATAGAATACCTACCGCTACGTTGGGGCGCACTCAGCACCTTCGTATTAAACATCTACAGCTCGAACGCCGACCGCTACTCCAGATTCGACGTTCTCTTCAACTGGGCCCCCTCAAAACGGCGAAATTCCGGCTCATCATAGTCGGAAGCGTTAATGCACCTCACCCGGCATGGGACTATCAAAAGTCACAACCGAAAGGAGCTAAACTACAAGATACTATAAATAAAAACAGGCTTACGATCTTGACAGACCCCAGTCAACCCACGCGGATAGGCAACAGCATATCACGGGACACGTACCCTGACCTCACGCTCACCTCCTGAATGCCATTATCCAATGGGAAAACCTAGAAGAAACACTAGGTAGCGACCACTGCATTATTTCTAACACAATACCCAGCGGAAAACAGAAAAACTCTACAAACGATAGCGCTTACGGATTGGACGGTGTTTAGAACTGCTCGAGAAAACCACGAACAGGCAACAATACGCAACTTGGATCAATGGGTGCGTACGCTACAACACGACATCGACAAACACACCCCCAAGCGGATCACTCTCACGGACCAAACACCTCTGGTCGACACCCATCTACCACACATGTGGGACGCCAGGCGCGGTCTCATCAAACGGTGGCGCCGACAGAAGCTCAACCGGCAACTACAACTTCGGATATTCAAACTCATCGCTGAAGCGGCAGAATATGCGAAGGAGCTCATTCGTAGCAACTGGGGACAAATGTGCAATATGATGCAAGGCACGCTGAGCACAGCAAAAACATGGAGCCTCTTGAAACACCTACCCGACCCCATTAAAAGCAAAGCAGCCTCCCAACATACCGCGCGGAAAATGATACACCAGTACAATGGAACCGATGCCCAACTATACTCGAAGAACTCAAGCGCACAAACATACCGGGAACGAACCGTCCAGCGTTCACAACTGGATACACAGGCACCGACAATCCCGAGCTGGACCGAGAGATAACACCACAAGAAACCGCCAAAGCCATCCAAGAACTCACCAAATTTACGACATTACGGAGGAGTAAGGTCCAGAATAGCCTACTCAGAAACCTAGACGAACCCTTAACAATAGCCCTGACCGACTATATCAACTACCACTAGGAACGAGGGACTAACCCAAGGAGTGGAAGCACGCGGAGATAATTTTTACAAATCCCCAAACCGGCAAGCCTCTCAGCCTCTTCACATTACGACCGATAACACTGACATCGTGTTTGGGTAAGCTATATGAACACATCGTGCTAAATCGCCTGCAGCCGCACCTGGAGACCACAGGGGCTTATTTATCCCCACACAATGTTCGGGTTTAGAACACACCTTTCAACACAAGACTTCTTACTCCAACTGTTAAAGAGATTATCTGCACACACACCGATCAACTGAGCGGAAAACAAAATTAGAGTAATAACCTAGGTCTCGTGACGTCAGTCGTGCGCTTATAACATTCAAATTTAATTAAACGTATTTTAAAGTGTGAAATGTTTTTTAATGGTACCCCCAATCCGAAAATGTAGTACTTCCGTCCGTCCGACCGCCCGTACGTGCGTTTCAAGCTAAATTTAGCGGAGAAACTGAATTGGTGTATAGGAATAAAGTGGCGAAGACGGCGAGTTGGCTTATAACTTACAAAAATTAAAAGCGCTAAGTGTAGACAAGGACACAACAGGTAGACGAACCGGACGAGCGCTTACTGGTGTATAGGCCACGTGATGTCAGGTAACGTGACCTCAATTGACATCAAGTGACCTATACACAAATTTTGTTGCCTCGCTAAATTTGGCGGGGAGATTTACATCACATGATCTATAATTCGATAAATATTGACACCCCTTGACTTTATATTATACTAGATTGTACTCTAAACAAACTAAAACGATCGCTCCTTAAATACCACATTTCGTGCATTTAATACTTTGGAAGTAAAGGTCGCTGACAATTTTTTTCAATCAACGGTTATTGAGGAGAAATGCCTAATTAGTCATGTACGAAAATGAAATGATTTTTACTGTTTTCTCTTCACTGAACCACATCTTTTTTCCTCCCAGCAATAGAATAATACAAAACTATGCCGAGAAGGCTTAGCTATGAATGTCCGGGGTAAAATGGTTAAATGGACATCATTTGGGGGCTTAAAAAAATATTAAGATAACATATTCCTATCTTTGTTCTACTATATGTACCTTGTTTTTGTCGAAATTTGTATTTGTAACAAATTAAGTAACCTGGACGTCGATTTATTTCACCTCATTTCAAATGTGAAAGCCGTACTCCGGAAAATTGTATAGCCACTCCGACAAGCTATATATTTTTGAAACCCCGGCCTTTACCTTTTTTTTGGGACCCTAATTAGTGTCGCGAAATTAAGAATAGTTACTGCCGAATTGATCAACGAAAATAATTCCAAGAACAATATTCAAATATACCTGCGCGTTTCAGTGCCGTGACATCACCGGTAGTCACTTGCAGGTCCAGCAGGCAGTCTAAACAAATGGCTATACCAAGCGTCTGTTTCGAGCTGCTGCGTTCATGCTGGAGCCAGCTTCCAAAACATTCGTTTGACACCATAAAACTGCTTGTAATTATTGGGAACAAATTGTACAATTCCAAAAGTGAGCCCGTGCCGGCCGCAAGCGTAAATTTTTCATCGTCGTCAGTAGAGACTTTCAGTTTAAAGAAACACGGTAAGGAACAATATCGTAAATTGAATAACCTCACAAAAAATAATATTTTGGCCTAATGTTTGGGTACTAGTCCAACGATGTCTGTTAGTGTCTTTAGTAAATATTCAAGCAAATAAGTGACCATTAAAAAAAAAAACAGCGTTAAAGTGCCTCTATAAAAACAAGTATAGGAACGGGTCATCCTCAACCAGTTCGTGCTTCCGTTTAGTGGGTTAAACATTTTTCTACTTGTGTAGGTGTACCCCTGTGATGCCTTCTACCTTATTGGGTGCTTGGGACCTCAATATAAATGAACTGAAGTTTCAGTTTGAAGGAACTCTAGTCGTATTTATGAATATTCAGTCCACCCTTCCGTCCTTCAGACCAGTAACTTCAGCGCGGCATATCAGATTTAGTAAGTATAGGTGTTTCAATTATATAATTATATGTCTTTTAGACCATCAAAACCGATAATATTCATTTTTATTTTTCGAATGACTCGCATAAGTAATATTTTAGGGTTGCTAAAATCATTCCATGATTTGGTACACCTAAAGAAATTATACAAAAACAAAGCTTAGCCATGGTAAAAGAGGCCGCAAACAGTGCTATGGCGTGTTCGTCTCCTTTTCTTTGCCTGTCTCCTTCGCGACATTCTTTTTTTTTTTCATTACGTCTTCCAACTAGCTTGATAAACACTAGTCGAGGAAACTACTTTTCACGAGGTCTGATTACTCCCTTTCTCTAATAAAACATATTTAAGTAAGATTTAAAACTTACCATTCCTCAACGTTACACGCATAGCATTGTCCTCCTGTCTCTGGTATTCGGGTGTTCTTTCCGTTTTCACAAACAACGGAACTTCAACTCTGGAATGTGCAATGGTATTGACAAAGCCGATTTGTAACATTTTATCAACTTGCCACATACTTACGTTTTATTATCTGCTGTTGTCCATCCCTGCCTGAACACATAGTTACCGGTACCGTTCAGCTTCGTAACATTAGCATAGACGCACGCAAATTCCGGTTCCCCAGGGTTTGGTCGGTATGTGCGATGGTACATCCATGAAAATGGATCGACATTCTGAAGAGCCTGCAATACAATTATGTTTCAAAGCAACATGTTTTATACCTCAGTATAATTAATTCAAAATTTATTTTTATCGAAAAAAAGTCTATATATTTCTTCGTAGGAAGCGAAGCGAAGCACCGGAGTTTGCCTCAAACACCTGCGTTCCCAGTTGCTGTTCTAGAAAGCGGACGCAATTCTTCGTGTTTCCATGCAGGATCACATAAGTAACTGAGTAAATTGAAAGTATGCATTGTGATAAAATCAATGGTTTTAAAACTTGGTTGCATGATCACCAGTGCACCTGGCGTTTACTTGAAAGCCAACGTTGTTCTGTTACGCACACGTGAGCCTTATCATCTTTAGAATTTCATTTGAGGATGTTTAACGGTTAAGAGTTGAGCTTGTTGGTACATACTTGTAGTTATATCAGCTTGAACTTTAGAAATATCTAGAACACAAAGACAGAAAGGACAGGATATGACACACAGCTGACTACCAACGATTTTTTAGTTTAAACTTCTTCTTTGCGCTTTTGCTCCTTCCTTTTGAGTCCCAAGTGGAGCACATTAACCTATTATACAAATTACCCTATTCCACTAATAAAGATCACTCCCGATATTTACACTTATACAAAAAATATGTACAAATCATTTGCACAGTATTCCCCGCAAATTATTGTTTTTGAACTAACCCGCCACAAGCTCGTGCTGTTGTTGTTTGGGGCGTGACATTCTTTAGGTACTGTCTTTCTTTTTTGTGGACGGTGATTGATGGCGTGCTGACACAGTCCTCCGCGTGCTCCTCGATGGCGAGCGCCTCGAGCATTTCGCGTGCATGAGGATTGTTGTTTCTTCCAAGAATGGTGGTGCTGTTCAAAGCTACACTGCACTGGCATGTCCTCCAATGAGCTGCCAGATGTCCTGCCGCTGTTCCCTTTAGAGACGCTGCATGCTCACGGGCTCTGTCGTTGATACATCGGCCTGTTTGGCCGATGTAGCATTTCCCGCAAGACAGGGGAATGTGGTAAACCACTCCTGTTGAGCATGGGAGATATTGCGTTCTGTGGGCCGTGTTGCAGAATTTTTTCTTTCTTTTTCGGTTCACTTCACTGCACATATAGTATGCTTTGTTGGGCGCGGAGCATACTACTTGTACGTCATTTCTTGCTGCAATCTTTTTCAATTTGTGGGTGATCCCATGGATGTACGGTAGCACCACGATCTTCCTTCGAGTTTTGTCTGCGTCTTCGTTTTCCTGACTTTTATGCTTCAATTTTTTGCAGATGTTTTCACAGACTGGCACCATTAGACTAGTTGGATATCCCGATTCTCGTAGGCGGCACATCTGTTTTTCAAAACTTTGCCCTATTTGGTGCTCACACGATTTGTGTAGGGCAGAGATTAGAGCCGTGCTCGCGACACTCCTCTTTATGGTTCTTGAATGTCCGGATGTGAACGGCAGAAATCCTTTCGCTGACCGGGGTTCGTACCTCCAGCACACGTGTCCTTGATTGAAAGTCAGATTGAGATCTAGAAATTTTATATTTTTGTCGACAGGTGCTTCATAGGTGAAAACCAAGTCGGGGCAACTTTCTTTGAAGCATCTAAGAACTGTGTCTCTGGTTCCGTTTGTCTGGTCGTCGACTTCCGTGGCACTTAGTATTAAGAAATCGTCTACGTAACGGAAAATCGCCTGGACGCTTGTATGTTTCAAGTTGTCTTCGATGATCTTGCTGCATGCCGCCAGGTACATATCACATAGCTGTGGCGCCACTCGAGATCCAATGCATACTCCGCTTTTTTGCACCATTGGTTGGTCTTGATATACCACCACAGTCGCGTTTAGATATGCACATAATAGTTCTAAAAAGGTGTCTACATTTATTCCTGCGGCGTTCTGAAAAGCTGTGGTGCCTTGCTTCTCAATTGTAGAGCGGAGAATCGCCATAAGGTTTGTGTGCGGAATCGAATAATACATGTCTTGAATATCTATTGAAAATCCAGATGTGACACCAGTTCCTTTTTCTTGAAGGTATGCAATTAATTGTTCCGAATTCTTGATTTTGTATGGATCATCCGATTGTATCATGGCTAGGCGAAGGGATAGGAACGTCGAGAGATGGATTTGCCAGGTGTCTTTTTCCGACACAATGGCCCTAAACGGTGTGCCCTCTTTGTGGGTTTTCGCTGAGAAAAAAAAACTTCCAGCTGTCCTTTCTTCGTTTGTCTTATTTTTGTGCATAAACTGTTCATGTTGTTGTTATCAAGGAGCTTCAGAACCGCTTGTTTTGCTTTTTTGTGTGTTTTTGCGTCCACATCAATGAAGTTCTTTGCCATGGCGGCAGAGGCTTTCTCTTTGTATGTGGCTGAATCTAGGACGACGAATCCGCCTTCCTTGTCGGAAACGCATAAATTAAGATCTTTGCTAATTAGTTCTTGTATTGTGGGACGAAAGCTCATACCTGGTGTTACTGAGCTTCTTAGGCTCGCGATGCATTCGATTCCCTCGTTGATTATCTGTGCCGCGTTTTCAACATCAGCCTTGGATGCGATATTTCTGACAAGGGCCATCTTGTCGATGGGTTGCAGCCGAGGTGGCAAAGCAAACTTTGGTCCTTGTTCAAGTACTTTTCTTGTCTTAACTGAGATGGTGACGTCTCCAATGACCTGCAGGGCTCGCCGTTCTGGGTGTTCTTTGGCTTTCCTTGCCAGGTGCTGTTTCAAATATGGAAGGTAATATCTGGTCCACATGGTTTCTGTTGTGTATCTTGCCAATGTCAGGTAATTCATAAAAACGTTATAGTGAGGACATTTGGCTCGTAGAAAATCTGTGAGGAGTCGTTGTTGCCTCCATGTCTCGGACCTGAGAATCTTGCTCACTCTCATAGCGTGCCCTTGTGACGGTGTTATAAGTCCGAAAATTTGCCTGACATCTTCCAGATGTCGATCCAGCTGTGTGTCATATCCTGTCCTTTCTGTCTTTGTGTTCTAGATATTTCTAAAGTTCAAGCTGATATAACTACAAATATGAGGATGTTTGTTTTGTGAAATAGAATAATTTTCTGTAACTGACAATGGGAAGTGAGAAACAATATCTATGTACTGCCCCTGGCTGTAGAGAGCTGTTGTTAAAGAAGTACGAAAAACTTTTACGTTATGCCATTGAACCGATACCTGCATATTTTTACGCACCTCACTCAGACTTGTACGGTACCAGCTACGAGCAATCAAATTACTTGTAATCAATTTTTTTAGTAATTTTGTAATCGTCTGAATATATTTATTAAAAGAAGTAATCGCAAGAGTAATCTGATTACCTCTGGAAGTATTAAAATTACTTGTAACCGTTACTATTTTTCCGTTCCCTTTTTAATGGCGCCTTTTGTTCCTACAAATTTTCTACCAAGGATTTTTCGAACTAAGTCTCCGACACAAGGATGGTTTGCCAAACTTGGTGGATTAGGAAGATAAGTAGCTTTTACTCCGATGATCATAATTGAACAATAGGCAGCACAAAATACCCCCTTTCAAATCGGCCGAAAAATCTCTCGTTTGACAATTGAAAGTAATCGGAAAGTAACGGTTCCTTCTCCAAGTAGCGGCCAATCACTTTTCCACCTAAATAATTAAGTAATTAATTGAATATTTTTTCCAATGTAATTGTAATTGTAATCGATTACTTTTTTCAAGTAACGTGCACAACACTGACCATACTATATATTGTATTGTTTTCCCAGTAACTGGAAAAAAAATCGACACTGACGAGATATAATAGAGCTTTAAAGCATCCACAATCAGATTGGTACGGAGACAAACACATTCCACACAATTATTTCCTGTCACCCTAGAGTTGGCTACGCTCAGGTTCGAACACGAACCGGTTACGAATCACGGAATATATTGCTTTGACATATATCAGGTTTCTTCTTGCTCACTCGAGATTCGACATGGCGGTCCGTAGAATTTTTACACAATCTGGCCTACGGTGACGCCGTGACGCCAAGGAAACTCGTCGGCCAGAGATGGCACGCAGTCTAGAAGTTTTTGCGCGACACAAGGGACAATCACAAAAAGGTAAACACAGACAAGCGCAAAAAAAAAAAAAAAAAAAAAATTCTTCTAGACCGCATTATGAACCAAGTAGGCCAACAACAAATTTTAAGAGATGGCACGGTTTGCGGTTCGATTCCTTCTTCCCCACTTAGTAACTTTAACAGATCAAGAATAATAACGCTTAAACATTAGTAAGTGAACCTTATATTGAATTATATCCTCCATATGCTTCGTATGCTTATGGATTGCCTTCTACGTGTTGTGTATGCTTTATGTTGCCTTAGCCCGTGTGTAACTGTTCTTCATTACACTCCAGGTTAGAACTAGTGAGGTGAATGCCAGGTGTGGAACACATTCTGTGTTAACAGAGTTTGTGTCAGAATGGTAAGGTGATATCGTTGCTTGTGGACTCCAAATTGCCGCAAAAGGGCATCATAGGCGCCGCAAGTGTAACCGACTTTTTTGGTCGGCATCCAAGTAAATAACTTTTTAATAAAATGCTTGAATATTGTAATGTCCTGGTTTCCGCCTAGGCTTTGACTGAAAGTTAGGCAAGATTCCGAAAACATTGTTGTTCTGCCGATACCCAATCATTAACTAGACTTTGAATATTACGACAAGACGTATGTGGCCTTCGTGAATGAATAGAGCAACCCTTGTTGGTTTGTTGTGGTTTGAGAAATAAGAGTGATCGTGCAAGCGAGGTGGTGAACGATCATGCTGAAAAACTTCGGAGGCGAGGGGCCACAAAAACGGGAACTACCACAACATTGACTCTAAACGCAGCTGTGTTTTGAAACACTGTTGTGTTTGTCTCCCTTTTTTATGTCCTCTCGTCTCCGGCAGTTTTTTAGTTCGTCCCGAAAGATAATATCGTATTATTATAAATTATTCTCGCTCTATAAAAAAGGCGTGTAGGCACATAACGTTCATTTTCAAAAAAATTGGGCGCTAGAAAACCAGAACAAGAAACATTTTGAATTCAAATTACGCTCAAGCAAAGAAATTAATATTCAAACTTTAGTTAGAAGTCAGAACCAATTTCCTTGTTTATTATGGGGAGGATTTTGACAGAAGCAAAACTTTGAATTCGTACAGTCATTAATTACAATGTTCCCATCGCAATGAATCGAGGAAAAACCTCGAACAATTCAGGTAAATTAAACTGAGCCTTGAAAATGAGCGTTTTATGCTGTCGAATTATCTTTGGAATCTGGTCTCATAGTCAAACGTCTTCAGATAGAAAATACGTATTAAATATTTAGGCCTTATACATTTCGGTTTAAAGTGAGAAACGAAGATAAACCTTCACCAGCGTCAGAAATACAAGATCGGTTCCAACAAAAAAAGACAGATTTCTTAACATTTTTGTTTTAAGCAACGGCTATGTTCGGCGACACCCCTTTTCCTCAGCCCGTTCATTGGGCGACTAATTTTAATGATGATAAAACACTCTGCCAGTCCCGAGTCAGTGGAGTCACCAATCATGGAGGGTGGTGTCATGCCGGTTAGGTGAGTCAGTCGGTCGCCATCCACTGATGGTCACAATGCCTCTGTTCTACTCAGGTCAGAGTAGGACGAGAGTGTTCTAATAAACACTAGCAAATGTCGCGCTTGAATCTTGCCAGAAAAGCGAAATTCTAACTAAATCATTTGCCTGAAAGTGCTTCAGTTTATAAAGTCGCAGAAAGCAGAGGGTTGCAGGAAAAAAATAAACGCACAACTCCGGGTGATTACGTTATAGAATAATCGGATAGTGGTCATTCTTCGGATTTGTTGTTCGTTGCTTTTCAGGCACTTACGCATTATGATAAGCGTGATATAAAGTTTAAAAAGAATACATTTTTTAACTTTCCTTTTTTTAGATTTGTTTGTACCAATTGTCCATTGTTATTAAACAAGTCACCGTTCTTATAGTTCGCACCAAACAAATTAACAAAATACACCAACTATTTCGACTAACTAAGGAAATAAAATATCTGCAATAGTTTTTTTTTTTTTTTAAATTACATTGAAGAGTTTGCATTATAAGGGAATATATAAACATACCCTGTTAATGTCTTGGTGCTTTTCACAATCTGGACGATCATCAATTTCAGTTCCGTTGTTTGTCATTACCTGTCTTGCAAGCGAGAAATATATTGAAAGTAAGAAGGTGACTGCTTTCATATTGCTTAGCTCTGCGAAAATGAAATCTCTACTAGCAATGAATGGGTGGGCATCATACATTATAAGGCGCAAAAGATTTCGCGGTGACCTTTAAATAACACTTTAGGTTCTCCGCGTCGCCCTCCACGTTAAAACTTCATCCGAAATGCCTACAATAAAATGTCAGCACTGCTCACACATGTTGAACTTTGATATATCGATCTATGATCTCGCAATTGGCACTAAACAAACTTTGCTCCGAAACAAAACAGATACCCGAAAAACAGTGGTTTTTTACATCGCGTTTATTTGCCGTATTAGTATTTATTTACAGGTCTGGGATACAACTAAAACACGATGCCTGTTTGTGGTGGAATATAGAAAAAAATCTTCGGACTTCGCAGTACGAAATGTATTCCGTATTTGGAGACCATGACATTGGAATATTTGTGAATACGTCGCCCTTCATGTAGGAATTTACAATCCAATTTGACTTAGCGAATGTTTTCAAGAAATTAAAGCCTACGTCAGCACAGGAATTATTAGTTGGAAACATTTTCATTCAAAATATCTGATTAAATAAGAATTGCGCTTCGAGAAGTATAAACGAGTATTGTGCCATTTTTTAAGTGGTTGCTACTGGCATCGTGATCGAACTAGAGGTGGCGCTACTGTCGTCCTATTTTCACCATCGATACGGGAATAGAAACATGGCCGCCCCATAGGCTTTCCACGTTTGCGTGCGAAGCGGTGTAGATTCTGGCGTGTATTTTGTCGGTTGGAAAACAAATTTGGCGCAAAATGATGCGGTACTTTTCGGTGCTTCAGAGAAGATCCAATTGTGTCATCAGCGTACGGCATAAATTAAAAAAAAAAATCGCTTGCATGAATTTTAGGGGGAAGTTGGGAAACATGAATCACCACGTCGGATGCCTGTTTCCGGATGAACTGCATACTTTGTCAACTATTTTTTTTTAAAGAGATGTATCGGAAAAACGGGGAATACAGCAAAACAAAGAATTCCGACCCGAATGCTTACATAGTATTGGTGCTGTAGGTTGTGGAATCGTAGGTTCTATATTTTTCTAACATGTCTTTTTAGTTTTTGGGGTAATATAATTATTTCAAATCGAGAGAAGTTAGTGCGGTATTGAAAATTCCCGTGATATTGCGAGTTTCTGTGAGTAAGAAAGTCCCTCTGGCAGCCAATGTTTCCCTTTATTGTGCCATGGTGTGGGTAATTGTTTTCGGAGTCAGAACAATTCAACTACCGTGCGATGAGGACAGCGTGAATTTTCTACTTACAATCCTCAATCTGTTCGTTGGCAGGATAACTGAGACAATTAAGCAAACTGTTCTAAAATATCCTACGAGTGGAATAAAAAGTGCGTGTTATTAGATGCTTTTTTCGGAAGTGTGGGTTCACCCGCTTCAATTGTTTTGGGGAAAGCGGCGGATGTCAAGAGCCTTAGATTATAAATTTCTGGGTAAATTATCTTCCATTCAAACGTAGTATTCTGTGACTTCAAAAAACGATTCCCACCACGACAGACAGCATTGGCTGCAGTGATACTCTTTTACTGATGAGAGCTAGCGACTCTGACGAGACTCTCCGATAACCCTCCGCCCTAACCGAACGCATATCGGGACTGGGTAGGTCATCGGTTAGCCTTCTGATTATCAAAATGATGTTTTAATTGAGACTTCTTGCCGTTTAAAGAGAATATTGTGCTGGAAAACGTCAGAAAAAAAATGCCTGCTTTATTAATTGGGACGTCTTTATTTCTTTTAGGACGCAGGCTTGCATAATAAACCACTTCAGCACGCTTGTGGTTGTCATTGAGGATGTTTAAATAATAACTTAAAGGTGACGTCACTTTAGGAGGCTTCCCCTGATCATATTTTTGCAGTCATCACAACGTGTAGTTTGAATTGGGACTGCAATATGACATTTATACCATAATAAAAAAAACGTGTAGTTTTAATGTTTAATACGACTGGAGGAAAATCAACTAACGGACTTATAGATTTATTGTCCTATTAACGGGGGCGATCAGTGGAGTCACATTTTTAGTCAACCTCCAGCTGCAAACAGCACTCAATGTTTTATTAAAGGTATAGATTGTGGGAGATAGCAAAAAGTATGTGGGACCAGAGCTTGTACAAACCACATCGCTAGGCTTATGGAAGCATCGAACTTAATATTCATATTATTGCTGAGATTACACGAGGTGAAACGATGCAACAAACCTTTAGTAAGAAAAAAAAATAATAGGGAGAGTCCAGCGCAGCTGGAGATGGGCATCCGTGGTCGAGATCCATGCTTCTGAACGCGTGCCGGTATCAGACAACGCACGGAGGTGTCTCCGCAATTTGGCACATTTCCTATTTCGGCCACACAGTAGTGACACAATTCGATGTAGAGGCGAATAGTCACTCACAACTGAAAAATCGCAGGGCGTGGCGAGATCCGAGCATCTCATTATCGCTCGATATCCAATGAGATTGCAGCATTTGCCGATAGGAACGCCAAAGGACGAATCACAGAGCAAGGGTCCCGAACATAATACGCCACGCTCTCTGTGCCTTATGCTATTAGTGACTATAGGTATTGTACATATTCAATTGTAAATAGTATTTAACTCTCCTTTTGGACGAACATTTACCTAAGCTCAAGGAACTGATTTTCCTTAAGCGTCAATTACATTCAGTGAATTCGGAGCATCACTTCTTGGCACTATCATTAAAGTTATTGTAATGTAGGCTAGAGGTACAACAGGCAATAGTGCACTGTTGAAAATAGAAGCAGAGAGCAAACAGTCGAAACTTGACTTCCGGTAATGCATTTCTATGAGAATAAGTGAGTGTAACTCTTCCTGGCACCTGACTATAAGACCAAATATCACAAATAACTCGTACGTACTAGATAGCACACTTCTCACTCACGCAGACGGAAATGTTGGTCAGCTACGAAAATTTTCTTTATAATTCATGGCAGTAGACACATCACTAAAACAGCTTCATACATGTCTTCATGTACACTGTAAGACACTGTTAGCACGAACACGGCGTCGGCGCTCTTCAGAATGGGGGGATATGCGTGCTAAACAAACGAAGGGCGTGTGGAAACCAAGAGAGATGGCGAAACTGCCCAGTAACACCAGATCAGTAACTTCCTGTGCATCTGGACGATCAAAATAAGTTTAAGACCACGCAATATATTATATAGTTTTAATGAGTAAGTAATATTTAATTCTTTCTGCTCATTAGTAGGTGCGGAGATGCTTCTTCTTCATTTAAGGTATCAACCGCACGCTCAGAAATTTTGAAAATAGGGAGACGCCAGGGAACAACTGCCCGAACAAAGCTGCACGGCGCAGGACATAATAAAAAGAAACACCTTACATAGCTCACGTACTTCATACTTTATGCTTTGAATGTTTTTAACCACTCGTAAAGATGCTTGATGGGGTTATTTTTTTACAGTGACAGGTGGGGCATATTAGCATGATATAAGACGCAATCGGAATACTGGCGAACTTTGAACACACTCTACATTCATTTCGATTGTTATTTTGCTTAAAATCTTCGCTCGTTTTGTCACACCTGCTATGGAACAGTGGCCTGGGCCTTAAGTATAACGAAGTTTAACACCTTTCACTGGTGAAGGAAGATACTGTAGGTAAAGCAATTACACTTATACAATATTAATAAAGGTACACACTATTTGATATGGTCAAAATGGCTAAGTAATCCATGTTATTTTCGGCCAAAGAGACAAAATACACGCTCGTTTTCTCATAGGAATGCACAGGAGCACCGCAAATGTATATTGGTTGCTGCCGGATTCAAATTGCAACCCGGAAGCCGCATAGACACTAGAGACAGTTGAACCTCTAGAGTACATTGTAATAACTTCATGGTATTGTCAGATTTGCTCAATACCCTACTGGTCACGAAACGTCGGCCAAAGTTTGGTACAGGGTCGATAGCTGTCGCTAGGGGCGCTGCTGTCCCGGAGGGGCAATTTTTGCTGGGCTGCCCCACTCTCAGCTAGACATTAAAAATTCGCCACTAAAAATAGTTTTTTTTAGGCAATTCCACACGCATCGAAATTTTGTTACGCCTGTATATGACCGTTCTATGCAAGCACCGGTAGATTTTTATTGATCTCTAACTGGAGATCTTACAAGTAAGCTCTTTTTTTTCAGTTGTATTCAAAGAAAAGAGTGCTTATTGAAGCGAAATAGATAAAACCGTACTGGTTCGCAATGCCAGATGGCGCAGGTCTTGAGCCCTGATTTTATTCGGTGAAGGGGGTAATGAAAGGTAATTTTTGGAAATTAAAAATCAATAAGACTATATTATTTTGGAGTTTGTTGCAAATATATAAGACTGAGAGGTTAATCCCCAGGTAGCACACTTGCTTGGTATAGCTGGGGCCAGGATTGGCACTTAGCTGTGATAGCTTGGCCACAACTGCCCAGCCATTTACGTCTGTATGCCAGCCTGGCGTTTCACAGTCTTTCCTTGCCCCAGAAAGCCACGGAACTACCAGGGAACGTCTTTCCTGGTTGACCAATCAATTTCCTTGGTCATTGATGGCCAGGGTAAACAGGCCGCTGCCAGTATTTGATGTAGCCTGGCTGTCTATTGATTTTCCTCGGTCAGTGATGGCCAAGGTAGCAATGCCTCTGCCAAGCTTTGAGGTTCCATGGTGGTTCATAGGAATTCCCTGCTCCACTCAATACAAGCAACAGCCAGTGTTCAGGCATGTTGCCAGATCGAAGATAGGGTGAGACAAGGAATGGCAGGGAATGGCCGCTATGCAATGTTCCTTGGCTCAAGCCCGCTGAGAGCCACTGTCACTCTATAGTTCGTTCAACTTTTTTACTTTTTTTTTACATTCGTATGAGCGTTCTGTTAACATATTTTTGGTGCTTTGTGGCACGAGCCCTCGCACTAGAAAGCGACGTTTCAGTGCAAGAAGTCTGTTTCAGCTAGACATAACAAAAAAACACGTTTACCCCTTTGAAAAAAAAAAAAAAAAAAAAAAACTATTTGAAAACAGTTTGGATATG